CGCCCGCCGCAGCCGCCTCTGGCCGCCCCTCAACGCGCAGGCGCCGCCGCCGCCGCCCGGCCCCGCCACCAACAAAGGCGGCGCCCGACGCGCCCGACGCCATCTTGGGCCCCAGCGAGGCGGCGCGGGCGGGGGGTGCGGGGGAACGGGGGCACCGGGAGGGAGAGGAACAGGGAAGGAGCTTCGCAGCCAGTTTTTATTTTTATTCTCCTTTTTTTGACCCACGTTGTGCCAGGCCCAGAAGCGAGGGAACCAGTTCTGGCCTTGGCCGCTTCTGTCTATCCCTCAGGTGCTCGGGGCCTCACGGGCTAGGAATCCCCCCGTGACCCCGCTCCACAAAAACTGGGCAGAAACACCCCGTTTTTCACCATCTGTGTTAAGGCTCATGAGCAAAACCACTGCTCCTGCGGCACGACTTGGGTAATAAAAGTGAGAAGCTCCAGGAGCGGTGCTTCAAGGGGCTCAGGAGGAGGAGGGTTGTAATCCCAGTCTGGGTTGTGTCAGGTAACGGACAAAAAACCAGACATTCCAATTATTGAGGTATTTTTGGTTCTTGCCACATGCTGAAGGGATGCCCTGCACAGGGGTTGCTGTGGGGGCCTCGTGTGGCTCCTGCCCCACGTCCTGGGCTCCATCCGAGTGATTTTTCCCCCATTCTGGGTCGGTGCTGGGATGATGTCCCCACCGCTCGCAGGTTCAGCCTGAGGCGGAACAACCCCAGTCCCAAACCCGCAGGATCCCTCTGCAAAAAGGATTAAAACCCAGCCCAGGGGGTGGCTGAAGACATAGGTTATTTTAAGCCGTAGGGTGTCCTGAGTTCATTTAGAGCTGTCACATTTTGGCCTCGCTCAGAAGCTTTTTCTGTTCCTAAAGTAGCATTTTCAGTGAAGTTCTGTTGTCTGAGGAAACAAACCCTCACCTGAAGTAGTGATCAGTGAACAGCTCTTCTCTTTATTAATTTGCAACTCTCTAATACAGAATCACTTCTCCAGGCAGACATGGGGTCTGTTGACACTGTATTTTCTTTAGGGATTGCTAGATAATTTCCAAGAACTTTAAAAGTTCCACCCATTCTGAACATCCCCCCCCGTCTATACCCCAGCCGTGACCAGGCGGGGTGAGGTCTCCCCTCAGTGTCACCGCAGGTGCCACCCTCGTCTATTTCCTTCAATTTCCACATCCTACCAGAAATAAATCTATTGTGGCAATGAGTTCCACAGGTTACACATTGTGTACAAGTTTTAATTAAAAGTTAAATAATTTAAGACATTTGTTTACAGGCAACAGTAGCGGTTGCTCACTCTGTACATTGCATTTATTAGACATCAACAAGGAAAAACAGAACATTTGGCACAAGAATGCCAATATTTTTTTTTTATTATTATTATTTTTGGACACATGAACACAAAATATCCCTGCAGGCTAAAAAAAAAAAAATTATAATAAAATACATTGCAAGTTGTACACGACCAGCATCTTACCGCAACATGGGGCTGCTAACCCACCCATAACAGTTTAGAAAGAGTACCTCGTATTGCTAGAGACATACATCCAGTCCAAAGTTAATAAAATACAGTTTTAAACATTACAAGTCTAACAATATAGAAACAAAAAAATTACATCATAAGTCAAAATGAACAAATGCAAACATTTCACACTGAAGTTTTCAGCCTCTAGACATAGAAATATGAAAATGTCAATAGCAAGGTATAAGAAAATCCGTTAAGTGATATTACAAGATCCTTCCTCCAGTGCACAAGGGAACCCTGGGGGTGGAGACAGTGTGGGTGCGATGCCCCCCGCTCCCCACCTTCCCAAAACGAAGGCGGAGGCGCTCCCTCGCTATTGAGCAAGAAAAAATCCTACAGCACATCATCCACAAAGGTAGTTTGGGGGGAGG